ATGCAATTGGTTTCATTCTTAATATAATTCAGCTATCTTTGTTTGTGATATTTCCATCCAAAAACTCACAGGTTGAGTTATTGAATGACTACAGAAAGGAAAATTAATTTTTTTAATTTTTTAAAGAAAAAAATATTTTTTATATTTGAAATTATTCTCTATATATTCACAAACCAATAGTATTATATTGAATATATTTAAAGTTTATAAAAATATTCCAATGCCGTAGAAAAGATTACGTTAAGTTTTATATACAAAGTGTACAAAAAATTCCGGATCTCTTAAATGCTTTGAAAAGTAAGCATTTCTGAGAAAAATGTTTCACATAAAAGTTGTAGGGTTAAAAATGATCTATTTATTGACCTTGTCAATTTGACCTTAGGTGACGCCTACTAAGGTCAAGTCAAGGTTAAATTGATTTTTTTAAACGAAATATCCTATTTTTGATTTTAGAATCTAATAGCTGATGTCAGAAACTTTTCAAAATTCTATAATGAAGCCTCTTTTTAATCAGTACTTTTTAAGTTATGAGACTTAAAAGTTACAAAACCATCAGTATTAGCTAGGTGCTCGTATCTCTTTTAATGATGCATATGATGCCGGCGATTCTGTAACTTTCAAGTCTCATAACTTGAAAAGTACTGATTGAAAAGAGGCTTCATTATAGTGTTTTGAAAAGCTCCTGACATTATCTATTAGATTCTAAAATCAAAAAAGGGTGTTTTGCTTAAAAAAATTAATTTGACTTGGCGCCACACAAGGTCAATAAATAGATCATTTTCAACTTTTGAATAAAACATTTTTATCAGAAATGCTTACTTTTCAAAATATTCAAGGAGTCCAGGACTTTTTGTACATTCGGTATTTTATTATATAATATATCTATATTTAATTCATTATGTGACACATTCTCCAATCAATTTAGACATGCGTCAATTTAGAATGAAATATTGGGTCATCTAAAAAGTATCCGCGGTTTTTTGTCACTAAGTGTTGATGGTCAACACATCTAGTGACAAAAAACCGCGGATACTTTTTAGATGACCCAATATTTCCATATTATATAATACATTAGAATATAAAAGAATTACAGACTAGATAATAAAATAGTGTATTTATACTGTATTTATATATAAAAACAGTCCAAATTTATACAATACAACAATAAAATAAAGACAGACATTAAAAGGAGCAATAATTGGATTGCATTCGAAAGTAAACAAATAAGAAACTTACAAATGTATTTTCTTTAATAATAATTTTTATTACGAATAAAAACATTTGAAATTTTGAAAAATAATATTATTTGTTTAAAGAAAATGTATTGAGTCAAATAAAATGTTACAGATTAATATCTCAAGGCCTTTTATTCTGTACCTCTTAACGACAGTGTTGATGTTATGTAGCTTTTTTATTAGGTGTACAAATAAGTTTCCGCTGTTTGACAAAAGACGGCGCCACTAGTAAGCTATGGTTAAAATTGTCTGATGTAAAACATTATATCGTAAGGTTGGACATCTGTCAACAACATAACCTTGAAATACTAGCGATTTTGTATCAGCATCATATATTTTTTTTTGTGCGAAAATGCCGAGTTTTGAGCCGAATAAGCGTCATTTGCGGGAACTTTTGATTTACTTCTTAATTTGAAGAAATCTGCAGCTGAGGCTCATCGATTGCTTGTAGAAGCATATGGTGAGGCTGTCTTAAGTGAGAGAAGTTGTCGTGAATGGTTTCAAAAATTTAAGAACGGTAAATTTGACGTCGAAGACAAAGAACGTAGCTGAAGGCCGAAAATGTACGAAGACGCGGAATTGGAAGCATTATTGAATGAAGATTCGTGCCAAACGCAAAAAGAACTTGCACTTACATTTTGACTTACATCAATAAAACATTATGTATCGTTCTTTCACAATAAATGCTTAATTTTTGATAAAACACTTTCTATACATAAAAGCAATATACATAAATGTAATATAACACATGGTATCCTACATAACACATAATATCATATTAATATCAACACACAAGAATATCATTTTTCCATTGCAATATTACAATGAAATCTAACAAAAATATCGTTGAAATATTATAAAAATGTCACAATAATATTACAATGCCCGCAAAAATGAATTACAAGAATATTGTTGAGATACATCATAAAAATATCACTGTAATATTATGTAATATTTCTGTGATATACATATATTTATGTGCAATGTTTATAATTATGTAATATTTATTGGGAAAAATTAAAACATTTTAAAGACCTTTTAAAAGAATTTATTGAAATGATATTCTTAATATTAGTTTAAAAATTATCCCATATATAGAGTGTCTCAAAAATAAAATCGAACACATTAGGGGCAGAATGGTCAAGGGGAACAAAAAGTCTGATATTATTTTGAGATACTCGCTGTAGTTTTCAAATTAGAAAAGAAAACGTATAAACCAATGTGCGATGAAGCCGCGCCGCACGAATTCATAGCACGGCCTATCGCGCCTCTCTCTCGCCGTCGCTGTTGATTGAAACGTGATGGGCCGTGCTATGAATTCGTGCGGCTTCACCGCAGATTGGCCTATACGTTTCCTTTTTTAATTCGAAAACTACAGCGAATATTTCAAAATGATGAGACTTTTTTATTCCCTTGACCCATTCTATGCTCCCAATGCGGCTCCTACCTTATTTCTAAAACACTCTGTATATACAATATTAATCAGAAAATAATACTGATTCTTAATAACAACACAAAATAACTATTGTATAATAATATTATAAACTGAAAACATTATAATAAACTAAATATCACTCATAAAATTATGTGTGTGTACATATAATTTTATGATACTTTAATAATATCTTAGTGACACTTCTAACGTTAATAAAACATCACAAAAGCGTTATTAATTCCCATATATCACGTAATATCACAATAATGTCGCAGCAATATTGCAATATATCAGAAATATTACATAATACAGTGTAATATCATAGAAATATTACTGATTGATTACATATTGATAAATCACATTGAAATATCACGGTATTTTTTGTGATGTCACAATAATATTGCTGTAATTTATTACAGTAACATTGTGATAATATAACATATTAAGGAGCGCAGTGACATATTATATATTATATTAATTAATAACATTTCTACGATGTCTATTTAACTACGTTATTATTAAGATATTATTAAGATATTATTAAGAATTTAAGACGTTACTTAAGATATCACAAAATTACATACACATATAGGGTAAAGATAGCTATAAAATGTTAAAACTATAATAACTAAATGTTAACATTACTCCATATAAAATACATATTAAGTCTTTTAATTGATGCATATACATTTACTCCATATAAAATATATATTAAGTCTTTTAATTGATACATATACATTTATCATACTCATATAAATTATTGATATATTACTATCAGTTGACTGACATGAGTACTGAAAATTTATAGTTCCTGTTACATATACTACAGATTTTCAGTACTGATAATCAACTGGCAGAACATGATCTGCCTGCATAATATGCGAACATGATCTGAATGGTGGCGGTTCATTATTTTATCATAAATATATATTCTTACATTGCTAGTTATAAAGAAAATTTCTTTAAAATGAATTTCTTGAATTACCTCGCTCTCTGAAATTCTTGGTATATCTACAAGTTCTAGTATGGGATTAAATTCAGACTCTTTCCTTGGCATATTTTTATATTCCGCATTTGCTAATTTCTAAAATATTTTGATAAAAGTTGTATTTTGTTCCAAAACATGAATCAAAATCTAAGTCAAAATTGATGCAGATTAATTCTCAAAATTATCTCTTGTTCAGATCTGGTAAGCTCTATTGTTTTCGAATTGGCAGAAACATCTTTTTCGAAATTCTAGAAAGACGAGAGAGAGAGAGAGAGAGAGAGAGAGAGGGAGAGAGAGAGAGAGAGAGAGAGAGAGAGAGAGAGAGAGAGAGATCTTTCTGTTTTTTCTCCATTTTACATTATCTTTAGTTTGTAAAATAAAATAACCTTATACATTTTCGTTATTTGACATCGTGTAAGTTAGATGTTTGTTACCTTTGCAAATTTGCTTAAAATAATTTATTGAATAAAAAGACTATTATGTATGAAACGGACTACAATCTATCTGCGTTTTTTCTCTTTGTTTTACCAATAGACTCTTAACACATTTACTAAGAATTTTCTTATGACTATGTTAATTCTTGATAAAAATTATTTGCAGCGTATCATTTTTTTTTAAAATTAACTTAAAAAAAGGAAAGGACATGAAAAAAAAGGAAATTGACTGGAAGATATTAACGATATTATAATTTTTTAAATTAGAATCTGGCAATTCTTGTTTTACATAATTTGCAATATGATAATTAGTGTTGTAATCACATTTTAAGATGTACTCTTACAAGAGGAAAGAATGGATTGATGTATATTTATATTTATGACCGTTGAATTTAATGTTAGATTTATGTAAAATTTATGTAAATTCTGTGTTTTATAATTGTAATTTTACCGAAGATGGCCAGATTGTGGCCGAAACGTCTAAATTATTTATAAATGTAATTATATTATATATTAAATATCACAAAGAATATCTTGTGCTGTAATTTTATGTTCTTTTTTTTAATTTTTGATATATAAACCATGTTTGTTATAATTATATTTTTTGTATTATATTTCAAAATCTGATACAATTAAATCCTATGACAATAGCATTTGAGGTGTATTACAGAGAACGATGCAAAGAATTTTGTCTTGCAGTATAAATTACTCATCCATTTTGTTGATTGCATAACAACCAG